TTGTAAACATAGTATGAGCCAATGTATTTCGTTCCTTTTTTAGTTCGGTTTCTACGCTTTATTTAACTAAAGTTTTGAGCTCCTTGCTTTTTCACTTCTCATTCTTAGCGATGCAGGAAGTGCCAAAAAGCATCGGAATATATCATATCGATATTTTGAGAAAATATTGATATCGATTTCGATGTATCGAAAAAACCTTCGATATGTCATGAAAATAAGAAAGTTGTGTTTGTTCCAATAAATGAACATCGCTTGGAGACGTTTAGAAATAACATAGGAAAAAGACTTCCTTCACATTCAGTTTTTTAAATAGTGCTGATTATTTCTATGCTGCATTATTTAAAATTATAAGTTGTGAATTTAATACAATATTTACTTCTAGAAATTTCTTTTTAAATAGTCGCAAATCATGTAATGAATAGGCGGCAGTAAGAGTTTATAAAAATAGACGAAGGTTACACGAGCTTTATACTGAAAGATCGTATAATCATAGTGTTCTATTTAAAGAGTATGTAAAAAGTATTCTAAAATATTTAAAAAGTATGTTTCACAGCTTAGGCTTTACATTAAGCAACAAAATTAAAACTGCATCCAATAAAATTATATTGATGTGGAGTATAATTAATAGTGAAACAGGCAGGGTCTCGAATTTGCAATAGAATTAACAATAATTTAACTCAATTTGATCAAACATTTTAACAAATGGCTTTTGAAAAACATTTAACTGATGTTCCTTTTATGACAAGTTCAAATACTTTTAAATTCCATTGACTATTGCCAAAAGATATCTTTAAATATTTTGAAACTATTGATGTTAATAATGTTAAGTTCCCCGTGTAGTGGCGGGTAAGAAAACCCACTACCCCATATCTTCCCGTGGGTGTCGTAAGAGGCAACAGAGGGAAACTGAGGCAGAAAAAAAGGGGCAGCAGCATCTTCTTGATAACAACAAAACAACAATAAAAAACTGCGGTTGCCAACCCGCTTGCCAAGCGTGGCATTATTATCATCATCATTATTACAGCCCTTCACAAGACCACTGCTAAACATAGGCCTCCCCCAAGGAACGCCACAAACCACGGTCACTACACCGGAGGCGTGGAGCAGAAGTGCGGTGGTCTTGTTCTTCAAGAAAGGCAACAACGCTCTCTTGAAGAACTACAGACCGCTTTCCCTTCTGAGCCGCGTCTACGTGCTGTTTTCAAGAGTCATTACGAATCGTCTCGCACGCAGACTTGACGACTTCCAGCCTGCCAAACAAGCCAGTTTCCGAAAAGGTTTTAGCACCATAAACCACATACATAGCCTTCGGCAAATTGTACAGAAGACCGAGGAGTACAATCAGTCACTATGACTTGCGTATGTGGACTATGAGAAAGCCTTTAATTCCGTCGAAATTTGGGCGGTGCTGCAGTCCCTTCAGCGGTGCCAAGTTGACTTCCGGTATATCGAAGTTCTGAAGTGTTTGTACAGTAGAACTACGATGGCTATCCGAGTACTGAATCAGATTACGAAACCTATCCAACTGCAGAGAGGTGTAAACCAGTGTGACGTTATTTCCCCGAAACTCTTCACCGCTGCATTGGAAGACGTTTTCAAGTTTCTGGACTGAAAAGGATACGGTATTTACATGAACGGCGAGTACATCACTCACAGTTGATTTGCCGACGATATGCCGATTTATAATCCTTATGGCAGAATCGCTGAAGGACCTAAGAGCTATGTTCAATGACCTCAATAGTGTCTCCCAACAAATAGGTCTTAGGATGAACATGGACAAAACAAAGATCATGTTTAATGTCCATGTAACACCTATGCCGGTAGTTGTTGGGAGCACTAAGCTCGAAGTTGTTGACGAGTATGTTTACCTGGGACAAATAGTCCGACTAGGTAAGTCCAACTTCGATCGAGAGGTCGGTCGACGGATTCAACTCGGTTGGGCAGCGTTCGGAAAATTACGACACATCTTCTCGTCAGGTATACCTCAAAACCTGAAAACGAAAGTGTACAACGCTGGTTGTACACTTTCGTAGGTCATATATAACATAGGTCATCACTAGCAACACGCCAGTGCCTATGAATCTGAGATGTGGTCCTTCACTGCTGGCCGGATGAGGAAGCTCAAGATCACTCTGCGAGCTATGGAAAGGGATATGCTCGGAATTTCCCTGCGTGATAAACTTAGTAATAAGGATAGCCGCAGTCGAACCAGAGTGACCGACATAGCTCAACGGATTAGTAACCTGAAGTGGCAATGGGCCGTCCATCTAGCTCGAAGAACAGCCAACAGATGGGTAAAAAAGGTACTCGAGTGGCGGCTTCGTACCAGCGGACGAAGCGTGGGGTGTCCCCCTACTAGATGGAGTGACGACCTAGTAAGACATGCAGGAAGTCGATGGATTCAGGTAGCTGAGAACCGTGCTTTGTGGTATTCTTTGGGGGAGGCCTATCTTTAGCAGTGGACTTTTGAAGGGCTGTAATGATGAATGATTGAATTAAGAAAACGCCAGACTTATGGGGGAGTTCCGTACTAGTAGCTTATCTAGCCACTATTTTTAATACAAACGTCGAATCTAGTGTGTTGCCCGATTTAATGAAAATCATATCTTTATTTAAATCTGATATAACATTAGTACCCGCCAATTTTAGACCAATTTCTGTACTACCAATATTTATAAAAAATATAAAAAATAATTTTAAGTCAGATGTTATAAATATATTTTGTAAGTATATAAAATATATAAATAATATATAAAATATATAAATGTATTTTAATATAAATACATTTTTCATCAAAATCAATTTGATTTTATTGATGGAGAAACTTGCACGTCTTCAACCAGCTTTGGTCAATCGCTCGTCCCCGCTGCTTCTACACGACAATGCGGGACCTCATACTACACATCACCACTAAGTTACAAGAGCTGGGGTTGGAAACTTAATTCATAGATAAAAAACTAATACTTCCTTAATTTTTAAACCTAAACGTCAATCATTTAAATGGGTCATAACAAAGTGAATAATGCTACATCAAAATTAGTGCCACTAGTGCATTGGTTTAACGTTAATAATCTACATTTAAACGGCGATAATACTCAAATGATTAAATTTACGACACCGAAATCTGAAAAATCTGAAAACCAATGTGTTTTTGAATGGCCAGAACTGTTGAACCGTTTATTTTTTTGGCATTACTCTATACGCAAATCTTCAGCTCATTTGGCGAGTGTGTCAGATGACCCTGTGTGCCCAATTGGGAAGTAATCACGATTCACTTTTAAATTAAAAGTAAACGCTGTTTAATCTTTGAACAACATAGATTAAAGACAAGGCCGTACTGTGACGTTTTTAAACATTTTTAACCTGTTTTTGTTTTGCCGCATAAAATGAGTTATATATTAAAAAGTTATTTGTGCGAAAAAAATGTATTGAGGGGTGTGATTTTTTTATCTCTTTTAATATAATGTTGAAATGCGGCAGATTTAGAAACTATTTTAGTTTTGCAGCAGAGAGCCATAAGAGCTATTTACAACCTAAAACTGTAAGAGTCTCTTAGAGAAAAACTTAAAGAAATACACATTAACTTTGGCCTCTGAGTATATTTATGAAAATTTAATGTATTTTTACAAAAACAAAAGTAGTTTTAGTAAAAAACGTTATATACACTCTGTAAACACTAGTAAAAAAAACACAAGCTTCTCCATGTGATACCAGTTTCTCGACTTCACAGAGTCAGTAACTCTTCTTGGCGCAATGTATACTATTACCAAGTTTAAATATTTTACTAAACAAAAACTGTATAAAAAGGGTTTTTATAATATAAATGAAGACATGGTTGATAATAACCCCTGGAAATGAAGTGGTTACTTCCACGCTGTTCCTAAAATAAATTTTGTAAATAGTTCGTACAACCTTTCATATTGTTAAATAAAGTACCTACTGTTGGGTTTCTTGCTGTTTCTTCCCAGGATAGAGGTTTTGTTTCGAACCAGTGATAAAGTAAAAAATGACTTTTAATAAGAATTACGTGTGATCTATATTAAATTAAAATTATTTTATTCTATTCTATTCAAAAATATCTGTTTTGCTCACCCTACTTATCTGGTTTGAATTGCCTACTATGACGCCACAATGTGACACCAGATCAGGGCTATTCTTATTTTAATCGCAAAGTATAAGGCCCGCCACATGCATACGGAATTCCGTTTCAGGATTCCGTTTCGATACTCCGATTCTAGATTCCGGACGCAGCAAGTTCATATAAAATCTATGACCCGTCACACACGTACGGTAGTTTTCCGTTCGAAATTTTGCGGGCAAAACTGGGCAAAACGAGATTCCGTATGTGTGTGGCCGACCCGTTTGGAATTCCGAAACCGAATCCAGAAATGGAATTCCGTATGTATGTGGTCGGCCTTAATCTAATTTAGCGCTATTTCTGAAAGAACTGCGATGAAATGGCGGCTATCTGTCACGCCTGTGCGACAACGGTGTTGCTATTGGAAATATATCATATCTGATACATTTTATATCGATGTATCGAAATAATTAATATCGCCTAAAATATCGATGCACTAAACAAAAATATTAATGTATCGAAAAGTCGATATTTTTTCTACAATTCAAGCCTATCTCACTCTCACACTCAGTTGTCAACTGTCAAGCTGTTATTCTGTCAATGTCATTGATAAAAACTGCTACATAGTACATACTACATATAGAGTTCAGACTTAAAAATACTAGACTATTATTTTACTTACAATACTACCACCTATTTATTATTCTTAATTTGTGAATTTAATCACTCTATCAAAGATCATATTAAAAAAGTTACAAACGTTCTATGTATATTCTATATTAGAGAAATTACTACATAAAAGGGTAAGTAAATTAAGGATTGGGTTTTTATTTAATTATTTATTTATTTTTATTACCCGTAACTTTAAAAACCGCACGTATGTCATACCTTTCCTCTCTTGCATGCAGCCTCATATTTCAGGATGGAACCCAAACAAGGTTTGTTACAACAAACATACTTATAAAATATTGAGTGCATGAAATCTTGATCATATATTTTTATAAAGCTCCAATACAAACAAAGCATTAAATTTTAAGAAATATATTTTTTCTAGACACACTATTATAGTAGGAATGTTTAGTAAAATGTAATTGAGGCAAAATACCAACTAAACTTTATACTTCGAAAAGTTATATTTTTGCATTCATTAATTCATTAGGTACAGCCTATTAAAAGTCCACTGCTTAATATAGGCCTCCCGATAGATTGCTTCATATCAAGGTATCCAAAGTGCTGTTACCCATCTGCTTCATTTTCCCTTTCTTATGACGCTCATGGGTTGATATGGGGCAATGGATTGATATTATATTTTTATATATTAATTGATAACAAAAATCACCCTTATATTCTATGCAGATACATAAATTGTTTTTAATTATCCTTATTACAGTTGAAATTGTTGGTTACAATAATAATATCCTCCAGACCGAATTCCGGTCACAGCGGCCAGTCTCAATGGAGACAAGTCATAATGTGTAAGACAGACAGGACCGCAAACAGACACGACTGGAGAGAGATCAGGCTCAGAACTAGCAGCTTTACCTGCTTTCCAAGGCATAGGGTAGAAACACCGCCGGCTTCCTGACTCTGAGCTGCTACTGAGAACTTATTGACAGAAAAACTCAATAACTGATTTTTTTGCCTCGCCTAGGATTCGAACCTTGGACCTCATGATCAGCAGTTGTGTTTACAACCACTAGACTAAGGATGCTATATTTGATAGTTGTTGTATGCAATAAGTTGCCAGCATCTGTCTTTCCATCCGATTACAATATGTCTTTTCGAGGTAAGAGTGAATAGGCTTTTGTTAAGTCAGTACACTTCACTGTCTTAGGCTACATCACCACTTGTCTTCAGCTGTAGTTGAGCGCTGGCTTAAAATAGTAAAAAAAAAAATGTTAAATGCAGAATGAAATGAAGGTTACTGTATACCAGTTAAATATTTACAATTTCACACTTACAATGCAATAAACAACAATTTAAATCACATCCATCATTCATCACGTCACATTCCCATAATTTAATAATATTTACTAATAATTATATTTAATTTATATTGTTTTCTGTTTAAATAGACTAATTTGGAAATAAAAATTAATTTCTATTCTTTTATTAATTATATTCTAGTTAATCTTTCCTTTGGGGTACTGTTTTACTTGGACACCTGGATCTAATCATTATTGTGATCCACTTTTCATCGCAGCTAACAATTTGCCTCAAAATTCTCTCCTTTCTGTGCCAATTCAGTAATATGACGCAAACTTGGCTCTGGGGCTCTCTGTAACTGCAACTGGCATCACATAGTTTGTGAAGTAGGTAACCATTTCTAAGATTCTTTATTATAGTTGCTGATTTGCCACAAAAAATACATCAAAAGCCAGCCATAGTTCGAGGCAGATCCGCCTCTATTATCGCCTTCAGTTTGTCACTATCAACCTTCTCTAGGTGACCATCAGGTGATAATTTTGCATATTAACCATTAAAAAATAATATTTAACTTGCAGATACTTTTAATGAATCAGTTTCATCTATATTAGAAAGGAAAGTTCGAGGTTGGCTCACTGGAGTCATTGTAGATATGAGGCGCAGCAGTCCTGTGCAACAATGGCTCGACTCATTTCCCACGGACACAGACGTTGAAGAAAAATCAAATGAACAAGAAAGTGTTGATACACAGTCCGATGAAAATAAAGCTGAAGAATCTGTGACAGAAAACACAGTGATTGAAGCTAATAACACAGAGTTTAATGAAGACAAGAGTTTAGATGCTCCAACACAAAAAGAAATGTGGAAGAGAAAATCTTTAGACTCTGAAATATTCACAAGTACACCACATAGTAGAAATGTTAAGAATAAATTGCAAAGAGATCACTCCATTCAGTCGGAAGGTTGTTCACCTAGGTTTAAAAATCCATTGCTCAGGGACCAGTCCCTCCAGGTAATATCTACTGTATCCACCGCATAAAAATTGTATAAAATGATGAATGCTGTCATGCTATGTTACATTCTTTAATACTGATAAAAACAAAGTTTAAGTTAACATTACATAAAATTTTATTCAATAAATTGTTAAATAATAGTTAATTTAAATTTAAATTAATGAATTATAAATTTAAGTACTTACTGAAATATCTAAAACTGTATCAAAAAAGAAATCTATTTATCCTGTCATTCCAGAATCATTTCACAACATTGAATAGCATCATAAAACTCCCTATGAGTAAATGGCTTAGAGTAACCCTTTCCTTTTTACAGTTGGGACACTCCTGTATACCCATTACTTTACACAATACTATATAACAGATTATAAAAGTAATTAAAACTTGACTTAAGTATTATTAATACATAGGTGTTGTCATAATTTTGCATCCTTGATGAAGAAATATTTACTACTTTTGGATATTATTTTAAAACAATATAATAATATTTTATTCAAAATATCTACTTTCAAAATTATTATACCTGTATATAAAACTTAAGCAACTGAAAATTTTAGCATTTTTAATTATTCAGTATGATCATGTGTATATATTATATTCAGTTATAATTGGTGAAGAATATGCTAGTGAAAGTTGGTTGTGGCAGAAATGAATGAAAGTGAAATTAATGATGTAGAAACAGCCATTAAGAAGTATGTTAGGGCTCATTCTAAATGATAGGATAAGGAAACTAAAAGAAACAGGTGTGAGAGTTTGTTGTAATTATTGAACTATGATGAAGTTTTTTTTATTTTTGTTTGTTCTGAAATAAAAAAAATATTTAAATTATTTATACATTTTATAGTTCAGATATATTAAAAATAATATTTTTTTTAGTGTTGGTATCACCGACACCACACACTTTACTGTTTGTCGTCTTCAATTGAGAAATGTGTGCTTTAATATTTAAATTTTTTTTTAAATCAATATAAACTGGAGATTACTGAGAAATATTTTTTTATGTTTTCACCTGTACAATAAGATTACTCAAGTCTTTTCATTTACAACAATTGCTTGTTTTAGTCAGATGCAAGTGGATCAAGCAGTAGCTCAGTCCTAAATGTTCTCGGGGCCAGGAAAGTGGATGCTGAATCAGTTCTGTTAGCATTAGGTTTTGGGCCAAGTGAAAAGCAACAAAAACTACAAAGAATACCAGATCGGTTTTTGGTACCTTCTAAGGTTAATATTTCCACAATACATTATCATAAAATAAACATACAATCTAAAGTTTCAAATGTTTGATTTTTAACATATTATTTCTTTAGTATTGTATATCTTTTTATGCCATAAAATGTCCTGAAATGCAAATATAATTAGTAACTATAAAGGTTAAGTTAATAACTAATAAATATAGTAATTTAAATTATATTAATTTTAATAGTGCTTTTTTATTTTATACATATTTCTTCTTTTTTAAATGAAATAAATTATTATTTAAATTATTATTTTATATTTATTATAAATTTTTAAAGAATTAATTCTTATGTTAATAACTTGCAGCTGAAAGGAATAAGCACGGAGAAATTTATAAAAGATGAACAGCTTTCTATGCGAATGCATGACTGCGGTATATTTGGATACAGAGGTCTAACAGGTAAGACAATAATCTTTTGATTTTCTAATAAATCCAAAATTATGGGAGAGGCTAAAATTTGATAATGCTTTAACTGACTAACATGGTAGCTAAGTTATTGTTCATTTTGGTTTATAATTTATATATATTTCTTGGATATAATATTGATAAAGTTTAAAGGTTACAGTTTTAATAAACAAAAAAAAGTTTCAGTATAGTATCTTTAATTAATTTTCACTTTCCATAAATACATTGTAAATCCCGCTGGGATTCTTTCTAGTTTTTTCCCAGAACAGAGGCATTTTTCTATATCAGTGGTAAAAGTAAAATATCACTTTTATGTACTGCTTGTAATCTATGTTCAGTAATTATTATTCTATCCTATGCTACTCTAATATTCTCAATCAAGCAACGCCGGATATTGTAGCTAGATTTAGTTTTTTACTAAAAATATTAGTAGTATTTAATATTCGTATTTATAACACATATTGTATTATACAAAACAGAGCAGTTTCATTTGTTTTATACTACAGTGGATTCCTGACCGAAAATAGCCTCATATCACAATGTCATTATCATTGCCGGCGGTTCATGGGCTTTGCAAACGTTAATTTAACAACGTAACGTATTTTACTGCTACTAACACGACTAATAAACTCACAGAACACTGCACGCCCGTATGCCGTTTCATGAAACCAGTGCCTTCGGGCTTTCATGGGCCGTATCAGATCCCTGATATAGCTGTACAGTAAGTATTATTTTTAATGTGTTTCCCTTAATAAATATAATTTGCTAATAAATTTTGTTTATTAACAAGACTTATGTGCATGATATGTGGTGATTGTTATTGATTGTGATTGTAATGTGCGTTATTATTTTGTTGAATGTTCGAGAAAAATGTATCACTCCGCTGCTTACAACGCACTGTTATTTGTCACTACCGTGCATATTTGGGTTAGAAACTAGTTTTAGCCGAAAGAAAAACAGACCCTTGGTAAGATTAGGTTCTGTTTAGGTAAGCAATTGATCCAAAGAGGAGTTTTTAAGTCGCAAAGTAAGCTTACCTACATAATGACTTTTTATAATTATCTGTATGATTGTGAGATTGTGACTAATTAATGTTAATTAAGTCCAGACACGGTTGATTATAAATAAAATTACATCAGTCAACGAAAAGTTGGTTTTTTGATAATTGACGCCGCTGTAAATAACTATGAACAAACAATCCATATTAAGGTCGTTGCGTTGTTTTCGTTTGAGAATTGATTCATTAACAGACTTCAAAAAAAGGACGAGGGTCTAATTTTGACTGTATGTTCTTTTATTTTATTATTTTGTATATATGTTGCGCGATATCTTCGTCAATTATTGTGGACCGATTTTAACGATTTTTTTCATTAAATAGGTTATACTTCATAGTAGTCAACAATTTTCTTGTTATGTACTTATTGTTTTCTAGAAAGCAAAAAAAAATTGGTAAATCCAATTGGGCATGCCTTAAGCCTATTAAAAAATTACGTATAACATGATTATACGGAATTTTTTAAAGTATTTTAAATACATTTCGACAGCACTATCGGCTTCAACACCTTCGAAACCCATGAAAATGACACCCATGATGAAAAAATTGATACCTATTGCAGCCGCCATCTTGGATTTACATTTCGACAACCCTATCGGCTTCAACTCTCTCGAAAACCATGAAAATGACACCCATGATGAAAAAATTGATACCTATTGCAGCCGCCATCTTGGATTTACATTTCGACAGCACTATATCGGCTTCAGCACCCTCGAAAACCATGAAAATGACACCCATGATGAAAAAATTGATATCTATTGCAGCCGCCATCTTGGATTTACATTTCGACAACCCTATCGGCTTCAACTCTCTCGAAAACCATGAAAATGACACCCATGATGAAAAAATCGATACCTATTGCAGCCGCCATCTTGGATTTACATTTCGACAGCACTATCGGCTTCAACACCCTCGAAAACCATGAAAATGATACCCAAGATGAAAAAATTGATATCTATTGCAGCCGCCATCTTGAATTTATATTTAGACAGCACTATCGGCTTCAACACCTTCGGAAAACCATGAAAATGACACCCATGAAGAAAAAATTGGTACCTAATTCAGCCGCCATCTTGGATTTACATTTCGACAGCACTATCGGCTTTAACACCCTCGAAAACCATGAAAATGACACCCAAGATGAAAAAATTGATATCTATTGCAGCCGCCATCTTGGATTTACATTTCGACAGCACTATCGGCTTCAACACCCTCGAAAACCATGAAAATGACACCAACGATGAAAAAATGTATACCTATTGCAGCCGCCACTTTGGATTTATATTTCGACAGCACTATCGGCTACAGCACCCTCAAAAACCATGAAAATGACACCCATGATGAAAAAATTGATACCTATTGCAGCCGCCATCTTGGATTTACATTTAGACAGCACTATCGGCTTCAACACCCTCGGAAAACCATGAAAATGACACCCATGATGAAAAAATTGGTACCTAATTCAGCCGCCACCTTGGATTTACATTTAGACAGCACTATCGGCTTCAACACCCTCGAAAAACCATGAAAATGACACCCATGATGAAAAAATTGGTACCTAATTCAGCCGCCACCTTGGATTTACATTTCGACAGCACTATCGGCTTCAACACCCTCGAAAACCATGAAAATGAAACCCATGATGAAAAAATTGATACCTATTGCAACCGCCATCTAGGATTTACATTTCGACAGCACTATCGGCTTCAACACCCTCGAAAACCATGAAAATGACACCAACGATGAAAAAATGTATACCTATTGCAGCCGCCACTTTGGATTTATATTTCGACAGCACTATCGGCTACAGCACCCTCAAAAACCATGAAAATGACACCCATGATGAAAAAATTGATACCTATTGCAGCCGCCATCTTGGATTTACATTTAGACAGCACTATCGGCTTCAACACCCTCGGAAAACCATGAAAATGACACCCATGATGAAAAAATTGGTACCTAATTCAGCCGCCACCTTGGATTTACATTTAGACAGCACTATCGGCTTCAACACCCTCGAAAAACCATGAAAATGACACCCATGATGAAAAAATTGGTACCTAATTCAGCCGCCACCTTGGATTTACATTTCGACAGCACTATCGGCTTCAACACCCTCGAAAACCATGAAAATGAAACCCATGATGAAAAAATTGATACCTATTGCAACCGCCATCTAGGATTTACATTTCGACAACCCTATCGGTTTCAAAACCCTCGAAAACCATGAAAATGACACCCATGATGAAAAAATTGGTACCTAATTCAGCCGCCATCTCGGATTTACATTTCGACAACCCTATCGGTTTCAACACCCTCGAAAACCATGAAAATGACACCCATGATGAAAAAATTGATATCTATTGCAGCCACCATCTTTCGATTTACATTTCGACAACCCTATCGGCTTCAACACCCTCGAAAACCATGAAAATGAAACCCATGATGAAAAAATTGATACCTATTGCAACCGCCATCTTGGATTTACATTTAGACAGCACTATCGGCTTCAACACCCTCGGAAAACCATGAAAATGACACCTATGAAGAAAAAATTGGTACCTAATTCAGCCGCCATCTTGGATTTACATTTCGACAGCACTATCGGCTTCAACACCCTCGAAAACCATGAAAATAACACCCAAGATGAAAAAATTGATACCTATTGCGGCCGCCATCTTCGATTTACATTTCGACAACCCTATCGGCTTCAACACCCTCGAAAACCATGAAAATGTCACCCAAAAAAGTTGATACTACTTACTTTTAGTACGTACTACTATTATTTATTCGGTGCTTTTAAAATATTGTAATAAAAAAAATCTCTTATTATTATTATTACTTACTTATCTTCACGCACAAGCCAGAGAGAACAGATCGCCAAGTGTCACGATCCTTACATACCTCTTTCGCTTCTTTCAGATTCACTATCTTCTTCATACATGCACGTCTAGGTATCCGAGTACTCTTGACCCTCCCCTCTTCGAGCAATTTGCTCACATGGTCTTCGAAAGTTAGCCTCGGTCTTCACTCATTCGCTCAACGTGCCCAAATCATCGAAGCACGCCCTTATCAATTTTTGTGATAAGGTCATCTTTCAAACCTGCCATTAAGCGAATCTCTTCGTTTCGCTTTCGGTCGGCCATGGTAACGCCGCACATTTACGAAGAGATCGCATCTCCACTGCATTCAACTTGCTTTTGTGCTTCTTCTGGCATACCCAGGTTTCGGTGCCATATAACAAAGTCGGTACCAACACTGCGTTATGTATTGCAAGGCGTGCACTCTTCACTACGCCTTGCCTTTTGACTAACGCAGTCAGGGCACCATTGACTTTGTTCCCGGCAGCGACACGCCTGTCCACATCTAAATCACATCTTCCATCCCGGCTAAAAGCACTCCGCAAGTATACAATTTCATTTACTTGTTCTAGACATTCCTGATTTACCCATATTTCACACTTCGTTCTCTCTTCGTCCCTTTCAAATACCAGAACCTTAGTTTTATTAGCGTTCAAACGGAGACCTTTAATTTCACATTCCTCTTTCATACACGTAACTAATGCCTGCAGTTCTGCCTCTGATGGTGCAATAAGCACTGCATCATCAGCATACAGCAGACAATTTACTTTTATGTCACCCAATTTCACACCCAAACAGCTATCTTTCAGCTTTTGTAAACAGCTGTCGAGATACAGTATGAACAGCCAGGAAGACATGACACAACCCTATTTTACGCCCGTTTGGACGCTAAACATGGGTGACAGGTCATGCCCTACCCGCACACAGGCTTTACAGTCACAGTAAAGAGACTGCACAGCCCTTAGCAATCGACCATCCACACCATACCCCGACAACAGTTCCCACATTTTCTTCCTTACAACCTTATCAAATGCTTTCTCAAGATCCACAAAAGCACAGAAAATCCTCTGGTTAGCAGC